TTCGAATCCTGCCTTGTGTATGCAGTCGCGTTAAATCTTGGGACCAACTATCCCACCCTTTGAGATACCTCCAACGTAGCGAGGAGATTAGTCACTGCTATCTGCGATCATTCAGAACTATATAGAGGATCCCATTTCCCAAATAATGTGAGAAACGTATCCATTTAGTAATACAATATGTTGATTAGTTGTAACATACAGGAAAATCCACTTTATGGAAAATTTATATATAAAGGACTTGCTTTTGCCAATGATTTAACTACATTATTCAAGGATGTGGTGGCTAATGGAAAATTCAGTTGGGTACCTTCTTTTGGGATATTACCTAATGATATAGGTGAAGATGATGTATATCGTCCATGCTTTGAGAGTGGTGATATAGAGGAAGGATCAGGAGATAGTGAAGAAATTATACCCACTAGTGCTGGAATGAGTTCTGAATTGCGAAATATTAATTTAAGCACTTCTGAAGGAAGCAATAGTGAAAGAAGCATTGGCAAGAGGAAAAGGGTTGGAGCTTCTGAAAAAAATGAAAGTAAAAATGTGAAAGCTCCTGCCTCAAAAAAAATAGCTGAAGCAATAAGTAGAATTGCATCTACATCTGAGTCACGTTCAAATGCTCTAAACACACTAGTAGTACTTGGCACATCAATTCCTGAAGTGATGGATGAACTTGACAAAATAATAGAAATTACAAGTGATGACGATTGGCATGCCAGATGCTCTCAACTTATGTTATCCAAGTCTGCTAGAGAAATGTTTGTAGCTTTAAAAGGACATAAACAAAGGCTGTTGGGTTGGCTAAAGTATGCAGCTTATAATGCATTACCATCCATGAAAAGTTAGTTAAATCATTGTATTAGAATGATACTATTTTGGTATAGTTGAAATTTAGACTTGTGCTATTTTGGTATGACAGAAAGTAGGATCCTAATGTTATTTTGGAAGGGATCAAGATCTGTTTGGTATTATTTTGATGTAGTAGGAATTAGAATGCTGATGTTATTTAGATATAGCAGGAATTAGGATGATTATGTAGCATGAATTAAGAATTATTTTGAAGTGCTAATACTTTTCTGATATCAATACTTTTTTTATCTGATATTTGTATTACAATGTACATTGTCTATATTTTATATGATATCTGCACTTGCTTGTGTTATTTTTTATCTTTATATATATATATATATATATATATATATATATACGTGGAGATTAAGTTCTCTGAGACCCCCTCTTTTTCGTTGAATCTGAATTCAACATGAAAAGTGGAAGAAAATATGGCAAGAGTCAATTTAGAAACAAATGGGATAATCTTAAGAAGGAATGGTCAATATGGTACAAGTTGTTTGGAAAAGAGACAGGTTTAGGATGGGATAATGTAAGGAATACAGTAGATGCTTTAGACGAGTGGTGGGATAAAAAGCAAATGGTATGAAGTCTTTTAATGTGAAGTTAGAAGTTTTTAAATTCCTTTATGTAATACAATATGTTGATTAGTTGTAACATACAGGAAAATCCACTTTATGGAAAATTTATATATAAAGGACTTGCTTTTGCCAATGATTTAACTACATTATTCAAGGATGTGGTGGCTAATGGAAAATTCAGTTGGGTACCTTCTTTTGGGATATTACCTAATGATATAGGTGAAGATGATGTATATCGTCCAAATCCTACGAAATCCTAAACCAATACACCCCCCTTAATCTTTTAGGCCATTTGTCCCATCTATCTAGGAGATATCACCACCATCAACAGCAAGAAGAAAAAAAACGCTAGTAAATTTAACAGAATAGACTGTTAAATTTTGACCTCAACATTTCTGTTATATACTTCATTGCAAAATTCTCTTGCTTTTGATTTATATACAGGAAAAAAGTAGAGTTGGAATATCATACAGCAATGCCACCAATTGTGAACTTCAAACTACCTAACTCTAGTATTATGATCATTGATCACTTACTTGGTTATTTACCTCAAAAATCCAACTCTGGTGGCCATTAATGCTCATGACAAGTGCCACTCAGGATGATAATGAACCGCTATGTTTGCTGGGCAATGGTGTGTTTTTCCGGGACTGGCGTTTTGTTTGTACAAGTACAGGCTCTTGCTCCTCCCACTTTTCACTCATTACTTCACTGTCACTGTCTTCATCACCCTTGAACACTGGATGGATATATGCATTCTGAAGGAACTCTTTCAAATTGTACTTTGGCTCCCTTGCACGCTCCAACGTGTCCTTCATCATTGCTTCCTGAAGTTCAACACAACGGAAAAGATTAACACGTATTAAGACGTCATTTGGGCTGTTCATGCTTTGAATTTTCAAAAAACTAAACTGAGCCATCTATTTTACAAAAACGATTTAATTAATCAAACTACTTTTATAAAGTGGATCAGTTTGTTTGTTTTTTTAAACAGATAGGATTTTTTGAAAAATGGATTGATTTGGTGCATATTGATTATCTGCTTTTTATTCATACATGGATCCATTTTTTTTATAAAAAAAACTGAATTTCTTTATAAAGGTGATTCAATTATTTGAGCCGGTTTTACAATAGTGGTCCAATTCAATTTTTTTTCCTCTCAAAACGAATTAGCTTTTATAATTTGATTTGGTTCGATTTTGGATCAGGTTAGTTCATTTCAGTTCTTTTTGCACCTCTCTATATGTCAAGAGAAGGGGTGTCCTAAAACAGTGTTTTTTTGAATGCTCAAAGTAAAAAGACTGTCAATTGCAATATCAAGACTAACCTGCAATGGATGCTTAACAAAAGCAGGTTCATATCGTCCCTTGCAATACAGATGGAACCATATTGTCAAAACTGGGAGAGTGATGAGCAATGGAGTTGAGTTAGCAGCTTCTTTTGTACTCAATAATCCCATTAACAACAGCTGTGAGATCACTAACGCAAATATAATCCGTCCATGGACATCAGGCCAGAATGCAGCTGCACTCTCATACTCTTGGTTGTAGACATTTATTATCTGCGCCATTCAGATTTCAGGCATTAAAGTGAGATAAAAATTAAGAGCATAAACTCCATTCACATGATAAATAAATAAATAAATAATTACTTAAGTTCTATGCAACAGTTGAAATTTTAATAACCACTCACCAAAAGTTTATTCATACACAAACTATGATAAGCTTGCAATATAGCTATTGGCTAAATCATTTACCCTCTTTTGCCGTTTCAAAGCCAATGCGTGCATTAGTAAAAGCAGTGACTACAAAACTAACAGTGAGCAAAAACTTACACAAACTATGATAAGATTGCATTGTAACTAAATATCAATTACATATTTCTTATCTTTTAAAAGCTAATGTGTGCGTTTGTGCATTACGATCTATTGATGTCAGTATAAAGCCATACACAAATATACAAATACACTATTCAAGAATATTTTATAGAATCAATTTGTATCAATTCAATTATTTATGTTAAACAGCAAATAACTATCTGTACTACATATAAAATTTGAGAAAGCTTGTATGTCAGCCAATAGTAATCAAACAGTTGTTTTCATATAATTGAAAATATATTGGAAGTTAGTTTTAAGATATTCTTATGGTGTAAAAATTATCATTGAATTAAATAAACTAGGAAATGTTGGTATATACTACATCGAACCAGAAGACATTTTCATGATTCAACTCTTACCTGATGACGGTAGACGACATATGCCAAGGCAAAGAACACTAGGATGAATGGAAGTAGAAATGGTGTGACCACAGCATACACAAGGCCAAGTAAGAAATAAAGTTGTATTTGAGGTTCCCCTGTGTTGAAACCAAAAGTCCCTGGATCCATTGCTTCTTCCCGATCCTTTTCGGTCTTCACTAAGAAGAAATTTTTCAAGTGATAAAATATCAATGGCTTCAACCTTAAAATCTCACCAGCACATCCAGCCCACCCATCCACCATTATGTAAGTTATGAAGAAAGTTGCCTTCATTGGAATTGAGACACCAATTGTTTTTGGAATTCTGCATACATGGCATATGTTAACTTTATGTTATGGAAAGCTATTTGTGACATCTATATGGGCAAATCGAGACTTTTTTTACTTTAGGTTATTAAAACTTTAGGGTCAGAAGAGGTTTCCAAAAGCTAGCGAAGAGATCACCATAAGTCAACACTTTTGTGTTAATAATCCAACTAGTTGAGTCAACACTTGTTGACTCTATCCTCAAGACATTTTAGACATAAATAGCCTTGCATGTGACTTAATTTACACTAAAAAAAATGGAAAACCAGAGGAATGTCAATCAAGTTCATACGATATAGTCATAGTAAATGATAATTCAGTTTAAATCACAACTGCCTAATGAAAATATAATGTGCGAGTTATATTAATGATTCAAATAAAAAGAGATTTTCTATGATTTTTTTACAACTACCTAACTAACTGTATTGATCAGTATGAGCAAACGTTAAAGATATAATTTCTTCTAACTTAATCGCAAACATGGGTGAAACTTAAATGCAAAATCATTTTTTTTAAAAATTTATGTCTTATGGTTGAAGATGCTTAATAATTGTAATAGTAGTGAATATACTAGGAAGACTTACTCATTTGCTGATTGATGGATAAATTTATCTAGCTGTTGGAATGCAGTCCCAGTAATTATGCTTCCAAGAAATACATTAATGAACTGGAAGATGTAATATCTTGTGGCTGCTCTCCTTTCTAGAGCAGACACGCTTATAAACCCTTCAAACTTGGACATTATCATCAATATTGTTGGCAGAAATATGAGAAATATCTTCAAAGCAATCCCAGGAAGGAAACCTTGTATAAAGGATTTTATGAAGCTCCTGCAGCAAGAGAGAAGGATATGATTAGTTTCTATATTGGAACCTTTAAGGTATCAAAGAGCTACACAGGGTTATCTATAACATTTTATTTTTTCATCATACTTATGCAAGACATAAAACCTGCAACATATTCTGGGTTGGTTGCAACCATCAAAGTAGTAAAAGGTTTTCATGTTATTCAATAAATTTTGTTTACAGAGTCTACCAGCAAACAGAAATATATATTAATGCAAAAAATGAAAAGAAAATGACATTGAAAAGATAAATAACACTTACATTTCAATAAAAGATTTCAGGAACGGTGCTGCTTTCTCAATGCCTTCAATGTTAGCTAGTGATTGTACAAATGCTATGGGAATCATGAAAAAGAATGTCAGAAAGAAGAAAGCTACAGCAATTATAAGCCTTCTTATTGTGAGTGAAACATATGGTATTGCCATATTATCCCAATACACATCACGAGGTTCTGGTGCCCACTCAGTCAACCATATGGTTGGATTCCTAGATTGTTGAGTTTGTGCACAAACAGCTGCACCCCAACGAGTTCGGAAGGAAACAAAAGCAGCTGGCATTATATATTTAGAATTCTTCATCACCTTTTGTTCCTCCAATTCTATCTGAAAGTGTAGAAGGACATCTAATTCAATCAATTTCAAAAAAAATAAAATTTAATGAACAATTAAATAATCTCCTACTAGTAAAATCATGTGAGAAACATATATAACAAAACTAATTTGGAGAAGTGTGAGTAATGATGATCATAAGCAAAGATTTGAATATCAAACATGAGGACACAAATTCTGTCACACTGATTGAAAACACCACTTATTATTGTTATCGCTGCAAGAAAATCATTTTCAACAAGTATGTAAACACTACTGAAATGCAAGATCTTTTATTCTGGTTTAGGTGTATTAAAATCATGTTGGATATGTATGTAATGTTACCGAACCATAAATATAGCTTACCTCTTTCATTTATTTTTTTTCCTTTCACAATTGAGAGTAGAATAAAATTGCTTTTATTTATCAAGATTGCATTTACAATTTTCTCTTTTAGTCTTGACAGCAAGAAACAAAATGTTAATGAAAGGAAAAGTTCAGGAACTAAAAATGAAAATCGACAAAAGTTTAGAAACTAAAACTAATAAGAAAAGATTGTTCAAGGACTAAAAATGAAAAGCTACAAAAGTTCAAGGACTAAAAATATATTTAATCCTATAATATATTTAAACAATTCTAATATATTTAATCCTCTCTTTTGTTTCCCTTTCATTTTTGAGTTTTAACTCGGTAGAATCTATGTATCCTCTTTTACCCACATGCGAGCAACATGAATCTGCCTTTCTTTTCCTTTTTGTTTTCACGTTTCACTCAATATGATGCATAGATTCTTGTTGTGCAACTTCTATTTAGGATTTCCATATTAGGGGTTGTGTTAAACTATCATAATCAATAAATTGAAGTTTAATCTTTCCAAATCCTTAAATAGTAGAAACTAAAAAGTTATAGAAGACTTAAGGTGAGCCTTGGAGTAATAGTGAGGCTTGTGGCTTTTTGACCTGGAGGTCATGGGTTCAAATCATGGAAACATTCACTTCCCTTGTGGGGAGCAAGGCTGCATACCTTCTCCACAATCTCTAGGTTGGAGCCTCATGCAATGGGTTGCTCCTTTTTGGCAAATTTAATCTAAACAGAGGCCTACAGCAAGTGGTTTATATTCTCTCCAACAGAAGTTACAGTGTATGTTACATACAGCTTTAACTTTAAATATCTTAATCTCCTAAGAAAAGGTCATCCACCAAGTACTTGTATGTAATGTAAAGGAAGCACATTCAATTCTAGTGGTTATTGTTAAATAAGATAGAAAGTACTGCTTACTTACTTCTTCTGATAGTCTCTTGATTTCATCAGTATAAAAATCAATTGCATCAACACTACTACCCCAAAGACCTAGAAAACCAGTCTGCAAGCACAATGGAAGATAATGGAATTACATAGTGCAGGAGAAAAAATATATGGAATACCTATAGAAAAATGGCAAGAGCATATGCTGAAGATTAAAACAAATGGAAGATAATTCATAACTCAATGGAAACAGGTAATTGAAAAATAGAATACCTTTTTAGTTGGCCTTGTGGATTGATTTCTAGAATATTTAAGTTCATAGTAGTCAAGCCAATTCTGCCTTTTCTTCTTCTTAGAAACTAGACTAGAAAGATTCTTTGCATTGTAAACAACCTGCAGAAATATCTTTAAAAGTAAGGAGAAAAAAACAGAAGTACTTGGTAGGATAAAACACAATAAACAGCCTATTAGAATTTATCCTATGTGATTGAAGGGTTAAAACCGGTTGAACTTGATATCCTAGTATCATCATATGAACAAAATCAAATGAAGCTAATTGGCATGGTGTTCTATTTAATAATGAGAGACCATCCTATTGAGTTCAAGGTATTTCCTAGCTAAATTAATTTCAACAGTGTACTTTAACATGATAAATCTGCGCCATTGACTTGATCTTGAAGTAAGCTTCACCTGAAACTTTATGCCCAATATATAATCTAACTTATTGGAAAACAACACATCGCCAGTAGTATCAGATCTATGTTCTCTCAGGAATATCTTTTTGTTTGCTGCTCAGATTAGGTAATAACTATCCATTCAAAACGAATATGAAGTTATAACTGGTAAATGTTATTATTTTGGTAGACTCAAATTACAACATAATTAGGTATGTTTGATAATAACAAAAAAGGATCAGACCTGATGAGTGAGATAGTGATCTGGATGGTTGACCAAAAAGAAATGTTCCACTAGCTCATCGACTGATTCATCAGGATCTGGTGGCACATTCCTAACAAGTACCTGCACAAATGAAAATTACATTAATAGCATGTATGAGGGAACAAAATGTAAAGGCAAGGACATTTAAGAGCACTGCAACTTTGGTATAACAGACAGTTGCCTATCCATAGAGGAAAAAATATTAGGAAGCACTAATGCTTGAAAGTTTAAAATGAAATTAAGACTAATGAATATTTATATTCTCAAATCATGAACCAAGATATTTCATGAGGAGGAGGGGAGGGGGGTATCACAGTTCACCACCTTTAATGTTTGAAAGTTTAAAATGAAATTAAGACTAATGAATATTTATATTCTCAAATCATGAACCAAGATATTTCATGAGGAGGAGGGGAGGGGGGTATCACAGTTCACCACCTTTAATGTTTGTGATAGGCAAGAAAGCGCCAACTGTTCAGGACCAAGTTTATTGTCATAAAGCTTTTCCTCTCTAAGAGGACTTTACCAATCGTAAGATATAAATTCTTATCACAGAAGCAGGGGTAATATGATTATGAACATATCGTATTTCTTAGGGATAAAACTTGATCTTACCGTAAATTGGTCAGGGCGGCGTCGTTCTGATGCAAGAAAATGCAATCTCATTGTTGCAACTATCTGATACTCCCTTTTCAAGATATAGCATGTCCAGAAGGTAAAAGCGTAAGCCATTACCAAATGAGTCCAGAATCTGCAATACATGAACAAGTATTGGAAGATAAACATGCTTGTATGAAAATTTGGAAGTTACTTCAGGAAGGGAATAATAAGGTTCTGTGAAACCAATGAAAGAAACTCATACATCATTAGAAAGTTCATATTAGATCAAAGAATATTTAAACAGCCAAAGAAAGGTAAAAAAATTAAACAAACAGTCCTGCGGGTTGAAAAGTTTGAATACCTATTTGATCCCGTTGGAATATTTGAAATAGAAAGCTTATCAATGCTACTATAAGTCAAATTGGAACGCTCCAAGGTGCTATTTGTCCAATTGACAGGAACCATAACAGAAAATGCTAGGATTGCAATTGGGAAAAATATTTTCAGCCTGCACTTCAATTGGGTCAAGAGGATGCAGTTAGTCAAAAATAAAAATAAAAAAAAATAAGTAACTTTGGAGCTCAAAATTGGGACAATTCTGAAAAACTAACTCATGTCGGAACATAAGCCCTGGGGACAGTATGTACTAGTAAATAAACTAAGCTGCTCAAAAACCAATGCAGATTTCAGGCAAGTTCTTCACAAATTGTTATTGCTTACAAAAGTTGGGACTAAAAAGTAGGGCAAATTGACCATTATTGGTAATTATATTTATGAACTCAATTACTATCTTACAATGAAACAGAGATAATTTACAAAGAAAATGGTATGGAGGCGAGTATGTTGAACAGAATGCATAGGTTTTTGATTATAATATGTGAATTTATGCAGGTAATGTTGATATGACCCCCTGCAAAGATCCACGTATAATCTAATAGTATGGAGACAAGCGTGTAATATTGTGTGCTAAATTAGTTGAGGATTTCCCATTATCAATTGACAGAGCAAGGAAAATTCAAATTATAGTCGAAAGTTGCATAGACTAATAGTTAAACAACATATCCCTGTGATTAAAGTCCTACAACTTATCACCTATGACCATGTCTAGGAATGGAAAAATTACCCATACCCATGATACTCATACCTATGTGTAAAATAAATGGATATATTATCTACTTGGTGTTAATGGACAGGGGTGGGTATTCAGATACTTGCACCTGCATATGCCAATTATCTTAAATTACATAATTGCCCCTACTTATATATTAGCAAATTATCCCAATTTACTTGTTAGCTCTACCTCTAATATAAGTTGATCTAAATTTTTTATTTTTTATTTTTTTATTTTTAAATCAAATAGATATCTATGTATACTCATCATCAATTAAACCTGTTGGATACCTAGACAATGGATACTCATGAAGGTATAGGGAGGTTTTTCATTCATGGGGTGGGTGCCCCATCTTGTGTTTCATAATCATAACAGCACCATCATGTCATGTGCTTCAAAGCCAATAATAGTGATTTCTTAATGCAAAAATAGTATTCATGGACATCAATATCTTTCCAAATTAATGTTTTATGTAATTATGGTGCTAAATGATTCGAAACATATAAACTTAATATTAGATAGACATCCACAGATGCTGCAAAGAATGATTGATCAGAGCATACCCAAGTAAGTAGATCCTTAAGTAAACAGCAGAGTCCAAGCCAGCATGGTCAATTAGTTCAGGTTCTGGCATCTGCAATGCTGCAGGCATCCAGCTCAAGAACTTTATATATGACTTGAAGTCCAAATTGACAAACTTGCTCACAAATACCCCTGCTTGCAATGGACTGCTCCTTAAACCCTTCAAATACCATTTTGGAAAATACACCCTATCATTTATAGGCTGAATTCGAAGTATCGCAAAAGCCAGTAAGAAAGCAAATGCACTAAGGATGTTTATTGCTGCTGCAAGTCCTATATCACCAAGAGAAGCCATATGCATAAGCCAACTTAGAAAGAATAAGCTACTCCCTGCAAAATATACAAATAAGCACGATGTCAAAGTCAATATTATTGTTTATAAGCTTCGAATTTAAAAGCAAAACCTGAATAAACAGATAATAACAAAAAGGTTTAACATCTGTTTGAAATTAAGAACTGAACTGACGTAAAATTACTTTTCCTGTGGTGATGCTATACACAAAAACAGAACCCATAATAGTTAAAAAAAGTTGGGAAGGGGATGGGAGAGGAAAATCATAGTCAAACTGAGTTGTTCTCTTCCCCAAAATTTCACCCAAAGTCACAATCAAGTAAGGAACCAAGTACTAATCAGCACTTCCACCACTATTATCTCTCAGTGGTCAAGCCATAATTTGCTTCTGAAATGCATAACTAACATACAAAGGACATATCTTTCTGTTGGGCATGATGATAATGAATCTGAATTCTCATTTTCACAACAAAACCAAAAAATAAAAGCCAGACTGCATGACATGTTTTGTTCTTCCAATCACCTTAGCTACCAATCAACAGAAAACACAGACAATTCAACACCCAACAAAATTCAGCATTTGGAACCACACCAACTAAAAAAAAATATCCGCGATTATTATCATATCATAGATCCACTCCATTGGGGGTACATTACCTTGTCTACCACAACAATTCTCAGCACAGAAAGAGACACAAGGGAGAGAAAACGAGCTGAAACACAAGGAAAAAACAACGCAACCAGTAGTTCTTCAACCCAAATGAAATGATGACAGTGCCACTGTTAGTTCAACCGACCACAGGGAGAAAACCCAGAAGCCAGAAAGTCAGCAATAACCAAAAGTTACAAACTTTATGGCATTTGTTTTCAAAGGGGGGGCGTTATGAATTTATAATTTGTAGCCGCACGTCTTAATCATGTGAGGTAAGTTTATGCCTACTCATACACACCAAGTCGACCATTCCCTGTTTATAAATCCTTCATGCAAATGAATGAAAGTGACAGAAAACGAAATATTAATGGCAAAAAGAAAACTGGAGTGTCTTTGAATAGCAAATTTGGATGATTTCATGGAAATATTGCTACAAATTACCATTACTTTTTGTAATTCGATGAATATTACGGATGGTCAAAATATATAAAGAATAAAAAAATAGATTTTAAAATTAATAAGTTTCTGACATTGAATTGTTTGGTTGGCAGCACATGCCACGAGGTGGTGGGGTTGGAAAGTGAATAGATCGGAGATACTGTCTTTGACGTTTCCTTTCATTTCCTAACGGCTACAATTTTTATTTATTTTTTTGTCGTTATTCTTAATTAAGGTAGTGTTTGTTTCCGGGAGAGTACTGTATACGAGCAAAGAAAGGTGTGGAAAGTATCCGTTTGTTTTTCCTGATTTGGAACGAAAGAAAGACGAAGAAAGGAGAAGGAAAGTACTGTTGCTCTCCTCGCACAAAAGGGAAGAAAGGAGGTGAAAGACACGTAGGATTTGTGAAAATCTAAAAATACCCCTCTCATGCATGTGCCATGCAGCAGAAGAACGAAGCATAATCAATTATACTGTATATATATACACAACATAAGCGATTATACTGTGTATATATATACAGCATAATCGATTATGTTGTATATATATACAGAGCATAATCGATTATGCTTTGTATATATACACAGCATAATCGATTATGTTGTATATATATACACAGCAAATCATAATCGATTATGCTATATGTTATACATATAACATAATCGATTATGTTATATGTATAACATATAACATAATCGACACATATAACATAATCGTATATATATATATATATATAAAATATTAATATTTAATATATAATATTTTAAATTAATATAATTATTTAATATTAATATTTAATTTATATATATTTTAAATATTTAATATATATATATATATATTTAATATTTATTTATTTATGTACTTTTTTCGGTTCCGTTAACTACTTGTTATACTGTTTGGAAATGCTTTATGCAGGCTGAAGACGGTGTTGGTATCCCTGAGCAAATTCTTGATTCATCAAACTTCCAAAGTTATGCAAGATTTTATTTTATATTCACCAAATGCAATCTCATCTGGTCTCTCAGTTATTTTGCTTTGATAGTCCTGAATTTCCTGGAGGTTAGTAGTGGCAAGCTCCTTTAGTTCCTGTTAATTGAGTTTCAGGCTAAAGAAAATGAAAAATAAAATAGAAAGATGATATTTTATAATGTACTTTACTTGGTACAGAAACCTGTATGGTGTAAAAAGCTTACCACAAATTCTTGCAATGTTTTAATTTTTATCTATCATTAAATTTAAAGTAAATATTTAAATTAAATTATTTTTAATATTTTATAATTTTTTAATTAAAATTTATATATTTATTTTTTAATTATAATAATTATAAATTTTTTTAACTTAAGGGTAAAATAGTAATATTACAAAATTATCAATTAAAAAATTTATTTTTATCTATCACATCAATCAATTCACTCACAAACTTTCTCTACACTTTCTACTCACTTTCCCTTAATCTAAACAACCTCACTTTCCACACTTTCTCTTCAAATCTTTCCTTTTCCACTCCCCCTTTTCCATCTTCAAATCCAAACAAAACCTAAGGGTAGGAGTTTGAAAAGCCATAGCCAGCCAAATGGACTAAGCTCCATTTTATTTGAGACATGTTATAAACACTTCTCCTTACATATTATAACTCAAAATTTACACTATTTGTTAAGTTTTAATTTATTCACATGTTTATTTGTTTCTTTAACACTTTTTACCCACATTTCTTTATTATTATATATATTTTTATAAGTTTTGCATCTTACTTAACAAATTCTCTTTCTAATCTAGTGACGAAACTAAACAAAATATGTGATTTTTAATTAATTTTAACAAATAATAAAGATAATATGTTTTTATTTTGAACTCAAAAAATAAAAAATAAAAATATTATTTATTAAAAATAATAAGAATAAATGAAGTCAAGTCATTATAAAGTTTTAAAATCTATAATAATTATCTTTTAAATATATAATAACTACCTTAAAAGTTATTGATTGACCAAATAAATACTTACATGAATAATGTATAGCTATTAAACTCAAATATTATATGCTTATTAATGTTAAACAATACGCATAAAAAATTATACTTAAACTTCATCCGTGAACGCGTGTTTTAATGCAAGTTGTTAAAGTAACTTTATGTTTAATATATATATATATAGATTTGATTAATTTAAGTTGTGAGATATGTTAATTTATGCATGTATTTTTCCGTTGAGTATAAAGAAGATTATTTGGAAGTTTAAATTGATGAGACTTAACGCAATAAAAGATTGTGCAGTGACATATCCCTTTAGAGTAGGGGCCCACGCAGTATAACGCTCCAAAGCAGTTATTCATATAAGTTAATGAATATGTTTATTGTTTCCATCGTCAAGTGCCTATTAAACAATCGACGTTACATGAACATCAAGATTTTATCTTTTTAATAATTTATGGACACACAATTCAGCAATTAATAATGTAAATGTATATCTGTATCAACTTGGAAAAAATAACAAACAAAGAAGTTATATATTTCTATCCGTAAATTTTTTTTTTTATATATATATATGAAGGTGATGTATTTTTGAGTTTAATTTTCATTGATTCTCAATGTAAAAATTGAGTTTAATTTTAATATAATAATAGTGGATTTTTTATATATATTTTTAATCAATTAAAAATCATCTTATATATGAATTTTAAAATATTATTATAAAAATAATAATTTTACCATAAACCACGATCCATGATTAGAAGATAGAGTAAAAAATTTGGCATCTTCAACGTGTTTTAATTAAATTCAAAATATTTAAATATATATTTTTTTGTCTTTGCAAGTATGATGTTTTTCAATTTTAGTTTGTGAGAGGAATTTTTTTCCATCTTTGAACTTTTAACCTTTTCGTTTTTTGTCTATATTTTTTTTTTTTTGACAATTTGTTTTAGTCTGTGTTGTTCAACTTTGTGACAAAAAATAGTTGATAATGTCATCAAGTATCATATCATAAAAGAAAAATATATCATGTTATTAATGTCACATTATCAAAAGTGTCACCAAAACTTTAAAGCTTTCACAAATTTTAATAGTTTTTGTCATTATTAAAATTTTGTGAGGCTAAACACGTCATTCGCTTTGGATTTCAACAAGAAAAAAGAAAGGTGAAAATAAACTAAACCAAACCAAAGTTAACTAACTTATGAACTTCATCAATTTAAAAATGACTTCAACATCCACCGCTCAAATCAACAATTTTGTAATTAAATAATAAATAGTCAAAAAATAAAGAGGTTTAGAACTTATAAGTTATAACGATGAAAAAATTACAAAGATTAAAAAATGAAAAATATCATATTTATAAGGATGTAAATCATAAATAAGTCAATTCAAAATGTTTTATAGTTAGAGCATCTTTAATGGGGTTGCTTATAAGCAATCTCACTTGTCACATCAGCCTGAAAAGGAACAAGTGAGTTGCTTAAAATTTACTAAAGTTACTTATATAAGCACTAGTTCTTAAAAAAAAAAGGAAAAAGTGAGGCTGATGTGGTATCCTGTGGCACAATGGTTGCTTATAAGCAACCCCACTGCAGATGTTCTTAGTCGATATGAAATCTATATACAAGTCACGTATATATATTTGACCAGATGACATGTACAAGATTCCCACCTTATTATTGCATTTAAATTAAAATTTGTTTATAGTTTGTGGAAAAAAAATTAGTTTTTATTTTTACAAAAAAATTTATTAAAATTTGACTTGACATTACAATTTAATGTTATGTTTAAAAATATAATACATAAATATCTTAAATAATAATATTTAATAATATATTAATTAATTATTATGAATTTATTAGTTTTATATATTCTACCACTAAAAAAAAGTGATTAGTTAAAATTTAAATGATAATTAATTGTTTTTATTGATATAAGAAATAATTTGTTCCAAAATAGTTCTATTTATCAAGGCACCAAAGTAATTCCTTCCATTTCGATTCTCAACCTTTTTCCCCTATTAACGATATTGATGTGAAATTTAGTAGGTACTTGATAGTGTATTTGGATGACAAATTTTACAAATTCAAGGAATTTTAAATTCTTGATATTTGAATTATTTTGATTTCAATTTTTATCATTTTTAAAATATTTTTGTTTGGATAAGTCAATTCAAATTTCTTAATAGTGTGTTTGGATGGGGAATTTAAATGGAGTAATTCATTTATTTGATGAATTTCAAATTCTTTGAGGTGAAATACCTTGTTTGGATGAAGAATTTACAAGGAATTTGAAATTCAAGCATTTGTGAAATTCTTTGAAATAATATAATTTCAAATTCTTCCAAAAAAGTAAGAATTTGAAATTCCTCGTATTTTTTTCTTCTTATTTCACTTAGATATTTTATCTTATCTTTTATCTCTTCATGTTTTTAATTATTAAATATTCAAAAATATTTTTAAAATTATTAAATATTATCTAATCTTAATTTTTTAAATTATTAAATATTTAAAAATTAGCTAATATTTATTTTTATAAAATTTAATTTAAAAGTCTCAACATATAAATATGTTTTTAAAAATAATTTTACCAAGGTGGAATCAAATTATTATATCGAACTCAACAATTTAAAATTTGAAAATTTTGAATTGACTTATCCAAACAAAATATTTTAAGAATGATATAAATTGCAATCAAAATAATTCAAATACCAAGGATTTAAAATTATTTGAATTTGTAAAATTCCTCATCCAAACACACCAATTTTAAATTATTAGGTTGAATATGATAATTTGATTTCACCATAGTAAAGTTGATTTTAAAAATATATTTATATGTTGAAATTTTTAAATTAAATTTTATAAAAATAAATATTAATTAGTTTTAAATATTTTAAAAATTAATATTAGATAATATTTAATAATTTTAAAAATATTTTTAAATATTCAATAATTAAAAGAATG